TTGATATTCTCCCCTTAGCTATCAGAATGGTACAATTCCATACAGGCGCCGCCATCCCTGGTTTTATGAAAAAAATTTTAAGTGTCCTTATTCCCATTCTTCAAGCATGAGACAGTTGGTATTCAGAATTCAAACTGAATGTGTGAAAGCACAATGGAACTCTTTCAGGGCGTTACTGATGATGTCCACATGTTGGCTGTTCAGCGTAGCTTTCTTTTGTTGTACTGTCAAAGACTTGAGGAGAGTTTATGCTCTTCTCCTGCTCTGCTTACCTACTTGGTTCCCTGTTTTCTCTGGGATATGTGATTTATGCACCATCAGTACACTGATAATATACTGATTAGCGTTAATGACTAGAGGCTTGAAGGTAGGTGTGCCGGCACATACCTACGCAGCAGAGTCAGCAAGAGCAAGAATTGGATGCTAGCCTAGGTTACAGAGGTAGACACTGACTCAAAAGTCAAACACTCACAAACAAAAAACCAAAATAGCACCTGCAAAGGATTTGGAGGAAGCTTTGTCACCGTAGCACAGTGCGGGTGCCTTGTGCCACAAACACGTTTTTTCCTCTGCATCTTTTCAAGGTTCTGTTGCCTTGGACTGCCTGGGAACCACCTTGGTTGGATAGTGGTAGGAGTCAGATAGGGTCTGCAGGAGTGGCTTGCTTTTACTGCTGTGTTTTTGTGGAATTGTGTATAGAGGCCTATTGCTTTCTATTACCGTAGTAATTTGTGGAATAAGAACAAGCTGGTGAGGCACTTACACACAAACTTCTAGCCTTCACAAGAGCCTTTTAAGGTAGGTTCTGTTCTTCACACACAGGTCTATTTGCACACAGGTTAGGTAACTTGTCATGAAGTCACATAGTAAATATTAGGGACCAGAATGGGGTGGAGCCTGAGTATTTTAAGATTCCAAGTCTGCTTTCTAAAACTTACTTATTTCATGTATATGAGTGCTTTGTCTTCATGCACACCAGGAGAGGAAATCATTCTATTACAGATGGCTGTGAGCCACCATGTGGTTGCTAGGGATTGAACTCAGGACCTCTGGAAGAGCAGCCAGGGCTCTTAATCACAGAGCCATCTCTCTAGCTGCCCTTCCCCCAGTTTTGTTTTTGAGATGGGGTCTTGGTGGCCTTAAATTCTTGGGTTTAAGTGATCCTCCTGTCTCAGCCTCTTGAGCAGCAGATCTCAGTATGTGGGTCATGACCCCTTTGTGAGTTAAATGATCCTTTCATAGGGGTTGCATATCTGATAGCCTACATATCAAATACTTATGATTCATAACAGTAGCAAAATTACAGTTATGGAGCAGCAACAAAAATTTTTTTGGTTGGGGGTCACCACAGCATGAGGCACTGTGTTAAAGGGTTGCAGCATTAAGGAGGTTGAAAACCACTGCTCTTGAGTATCTGAAACTAAGATGCCAGTCTGAACTCTTGAACTGCGTGTGTTACATTGTTCTTTATGTTCGAACCTGAGTAAGAAAAGGCCTCTATAATTTTAAGAAGGTGAGTCTAGTGAACTCAAGAGAAAATTAGCATAGCTCTCATGCCAGTTGTTCCACAGCCAAAGGTAGCACTCTGAGCCGCTAGAGAAAAATGGGGATTAGTGTATGCCAATATGTAGTTACTGACTCACGTGTTCGGTTACATAGTTATTCATTGAATAGACTGAATGGCTACTATTTGACAGTGATGGGAAAAACACACAGTGAGGAAGATAGACTTTAATCACATACTCTTAAGAATGCATAGCTACAGTACAGACGAGGAACATAGCTTTATGCAGAGGAACAGGAGAGAGGTTTTAGGGAAGGTGTGTTGCCCGAGATCCCAAGAGTGAGTGGCTTAACCAGGGCCTGGGAAGGCAGGGCCTCAGATGGGATTGTGTGGTACGGAAAACTCAATCTTTCAGTCCAGTTGGAACCAAGGAGAGCAACAGCAGCAGAGGCTAGGGACAGACCCATGGAGAGCCAAAGGAGGCTCTTAGGCTGATGTGGAGCATCAGTCAGTCCATGTTTTGAAAGGTTATTTGGGTCTTTGGAGAACCAAGCCGCACTGAGCAGGTAGGGTGCTGCACAGATGGCCATGTCACTGCTCAGCTGGCCCATGGTTCTCTCCCTAGCAGGCAGGGAAACTCCTCAAATGCTGCTATCTGGCAGCAGTTGTCAAGTGACATCCGTGAGCGTCCCGTCCCTCAGGCTCTTGGCCCTTGGCAGTGGTTGTGGTTACAGCTCTCGGCTTGGGGCTGAGCCCCTAAGACTTGATAGCCCTCTGGAACTTTCCGTCAACCAGAGCCTGCAGGTTCTGACCCCTTACAGCCTATGATCTTCATTTCAGCCTTCTATATTCTTGTTGTTTCTACATGCCTCCCCTCCCCCTTCCTCGGCCACTCGAACTGTTTGGCTGCCCCAATCAGCCACTGCTGGGACCATTCAGGGTGCCTGTCTCCAATGTGACTGGGGTGTTTGGAGGGGCTACTCAGAAAAACAACGTTGGACAGTCCATCTTCTCCTTTCACCATGCAGGACCCAAGGATGGAACTCAGGTCATTATGCTTGGCCTTCTCACAGGCCACAGAAATCCCTCTGCAAAAGTGACAGGGGGAGCTCTCCCCTCCTAGCCAAAGTGGAAATGGCTGCAGGGTGGTCTAGAGTTCACTGAGGCTTGTGGAAACAAAGAGTCTGGCACAAATAGTTTTGAACAGTCCTGAGGTTGCCCCTTCAGGAGCCGAAGTGATCAGCTGCAGTCATTCTAGATCTTTCTGGAGGTCTCTGGAGTGTTCAGGGCAGTCGGGCTCTCTGTCAGACCCATTAGTTCTTTTGCTTCAGGCGTCTACAGGGTCAAGGGAGAGTCCAAGAGCTGTTAATTAGGGACTCTTATCTCCATGCCTCAATGTGTGCTTATTTATTAGACAATGATAGCAGATGGGTGCTTACATTGTACATTTAAAGACCTTATTGTAACTAATGGTAGCTGATTTTAACAACACTTAATGCCTGCTCAGTGCCCCAGGGCATGGAGAGATCCCCTCATTTGTATCACTTAGAGACCAGTTTGGTTATTTTTAGATTTATTGTATGTTACATTTATGAGTGTTTTGCTTGCATGTTTGTATATGTTCCACATGTGTGCCTGGCATCCTGGGAGGTCAGGAGGGGCATGGGATCCTACGGAACTGGAGTTAGGGGTGGTAGTGAGCCAGCATGTGGGTACTGAGAACTGAACCCGGGTCTTCTGTAAGAGCAACAAGCGCTTTTAATAGCTGAGCCATCTCTCCAGCCATGGAGACTGCTTCTGGCAGTAGACTTTCTCTGGTTCTGGAGAGAGATTCAGGTAGCTCGTGGCAGGTGGGTGATAGTAGAGAAAGTAGGAAATACATGCATTTGAGGTTTGTTAGGGATTGTTAGGGACAAAGTCTGTTTGACTGGTGGATTATGTATAGCGGTGAGGGAAAAAGTGGTGTCAAGTGTAACTCATAGTTTTTAGACTACAGAGCCGGACAGATGACGGGCCCACTCACTGTGATGGGGAAAACTGATGGGGCCATTTGGGGGAAGATTGTGATTATGCCTTTGGGAGTGATCTTGTGGAGTTCCGACTATAATAGAGTAGAACTTCCAGGACCCCCACTACTGAGCTTCCTTAGGGCCTGAAGTTTTATACAAATATATAGCAATACAAATCTAAATACTACTGCTAATAATAATCTAAATAATATAAATATAAAATAATCAATATTTTATATATAAAATCAGGCCAACTAAAGTACAGGTCTTTATATTTCTAGCTAATAAATGAATTTTACTTCAGTATAACTTTTTGTGTGAAGTGAAGTTAGAATTTATTAAGTATGTTTATGTTTTGTTTGGCAGTAAGAGGGATTAAGCCCAAAGCTGCATTCCAGTTCTTGCAGTCTACACGGAAAAAAATAGATACATAGATACATAAACCTCAGCCCCTGGTACTTAAATGTGTAGTACTCTATAGTAAACACTGAAAGTTAAGAAATTCAGTATGTTTCTATAGTGAGTAATCTGATTGACTAAGAGTTATATTTGAACCAGAGTGTCTCTAATTTGGCCATGGTCTTTGTGTTACTATTTCATTTAAAAAGTCACACAAAGGGGATGAAGAGGTGGCTCATCTGTTGAGAGCTTTACTGTGCTTGAAGAAGACCCAAGTTCAGTTCCAGCACCCCCATCAAGCAGCTCACAACTACCTATAGCTCCAGCTCCAGGAGAAACCCGACACACACACACACACACACACACACACACACACACACACACACACA